CATAGGTAGTTCTATAACAATCACATTGAAAGTTATGGAAATGTCCTTCTGAAAAGGATATTAGACAATCTAAACAATGTTTGTATCACACAAAATTTTAAGAAATAGGAACAAAATATTAGTGAGGAAAAAGCTACCTCGCGAAGAGCTTTTCAAACTCAATGTTTTATTTGTTCTTACTTGCTTGAGTCAATGTTTGTGACATGAACACTTGGGGCTTGTCAATTACAAAACCTTGTAAGAAAATGTCAAGTTTTTGTGGAATCTAAGTATGTTGAGCAATCTTATAAATCTGTTGAAAGGAATTCTAATCCCTTAAAATTGATTTACACTGACATTTATGATATGAAGTTAACACCATCTTATGGTGGGAAAAAGTATTTGTTACTTTTATTGAGAATTGCATTAGAAATAACTATGCCTATTTGCTAAATTGTAAGGATGAAGCAGTAGAAATGTCTAGACAATGTAATATCGAAGTTGAAAATCAGAGTGAAAAAAATATATAAGAAGTGATAAGAATGGAGAGTATAAATCTCATTGTGCAGAAATATGTTTGAAAAGTGAAATATCAAACTACTGCCATATTCACCTCAATCTGATGAAAAACCGAACGTTGAAAGAAATGATGGATGCATTATTTATAAGTTCGGGTTTACACAAAACTTGTGAGGAGGAGCTATCCTTACTACAAAAGGGATCAACAAAAGATTTTGTCCTTTTAGAAAGAAAGCGATTTTGTTTGATCAGAATACAATCTTTTCCATATGAGAAATGGAAGAAAAGGAAATCCAACTTGAAATATTTTAAAGTGTGGGGGTATCTAGTCAAAGTCCAAGATCCTATTCCTAACAGAATTAAAATAGGACCTATGACTGTGGACTGTAAAATTAGACTTGAGTAGTCTAGAGAAGGGTCTAAAAGGCCTAGGAAATGAAAAGAATAATATACTTAATAAAGTAATTCAGAGGCTTAGTAAAATGTTAAAGGACATTTACTTCCTTCGAATATGATTTTGTAACATTTTCTGTGTCTTCTGTAGACTCATCCTTTGGAAAGATGGTGTCAATAAACAATATTGAAAGTTAATTGATCTTCTTCAAGGAAATAAACCTTTGGGTTCAAAATGAATCTTTAGAAAGAAAAATAATAGTTCATAGAACTGTTGAAAAATATAAAGCAAGACTTTGTGTCAAAGGCTTTAAAAAAATAAGATTTTGATCTTGTCGATATATATACTCGTTAGTAATTAGAATTACATCCATTCGGATGCAAAAATTATTACTGTAGTATATGACCTCCAAATTCATCAAATGAATGTGAAAAGATCTTTCTTAAATGTAGAATTGGAGGAAGAAATTACATGGAAAGAGATATTTTTATGTCAGCAACAGAAGCCCAAGCTTATGGAATTGTTGATTTTGTAGCGGTTCAAGGAAAAGAACATGGATTTCATGGAACAACCCGAGGGTTTTGTGGTACCTGGTAAATAAAAGAAAGTATGTGAACTTGTTAAGTCACATTATGGAACCACCAAAACAATGACATAATTCAATCAAACCATGTCGGCAGATGGGTTGAAGAATGATGGAAGTGATAAATGTGTTCACATTAAAATCATAAGGTCATTGTTTGTTATGTTGATCATCAATAATGCTACTAAATGTATGCTATAAAGCAAGTGGAATAAAAATTATTGGAGTTGCTAATGCGATCTTAGTTATAAGAATTCGTAGAACTCCATA